CATATAAGTATAATTTAAAAATTGATATAAGAATTTAAATGAGTATCTTCTCATTAAAATTTTAGCGTATATAAGGTCCTTCATAACCAAACCCAGTTTATCCTTCTTCCCCTTTTAGCTTTCACTATGATGAGTATATTATACTCCCAGAACATTTCAAATCATATACATATATATGTATACATGTATATATAATATATATGTATATAGTCAGGTATAAAATCTAATCATATATTATTATGTAAATTATTCTGCAAAACTCTTGCAAGTTTACCATTTCTGTCTTAGAGATCTAAGTCATAAAATTATTTTTCATCATGAAAAAAATTGCAGGGTTAAGACAGTAACTCAAGTTGTAGAGTACTTGAGTACTGCCTAGCAAATGTGAGGCCCTGGGTTCAATCCCTAGTACTATGGGAAGAAAATACATAATATGCTAGCTTATGTAGCCAGACTTACTGATGGACATACAGGTTGTTTATAGTTTCCTATATTGTATTCAACAATGAATGGCTCAATAAACATTCTTTAAAATATGAAAATAGTTTGATAGAAGAGATATACTTCTATGTTTTTCTAAATAGTACACAATTTTTAATATAATAAAATTTCCAGTACCAACTTTCGTTAAAGAGTCCCTGCAAACATACAAGATAGTTTCCTACTATCTCCAAATCATTCCTACGAGTAGCTAAACTAACATGGTAAATATAAAAGATCTCAGGTTTTAGTTTAGACTAAACCTTTTCTGTCTTCCTTTGCTTTCTTTATTTTCCTCTTTAAAAGGCCAACTAGAAATAACCTCTGATTAATCCTAATCACAAGGCTAACACATGCAGGGAGACACAATAAGAGGAAGTCAAAATAACAGGAATAAGCTGTTTCCCTTTTTTATTTGTTTTAGTTTCAGGCAGAATAGATCTATAATGAAATTCCTCAGCACTGTAATCTTTTTTGAAGCTCTTCTCAACTGCTGAAGAACTGTGCTCTCTAAATAAGTCCCAATTTACAGGTTGAATTCTCCCTCTCAGTAAAAAACAAAAAACCACACATATATAAAAAACAGAGTCCCCAGGAAGACGCCAGCTGAAATGAGAAATCTGTTTTCTTCTTCTGGCACCCTAACTGTGGAAACCCTAAATATCATAAATTATATGAATGACACATGACAAAATATAGAAAAGAGCTATAAAAACATAATGTGTTTTTAAATATTATTTACCATCATTCTCTTTTGGAACCATTTTTTGGAACCATTTTTAAAAGCTAGAAGAAGTTCAGTGTGTGTGTGTGTGTGTGTTCCGGTGAGGGGCCTGAACTCTGGGCCTGGGCGCTGTCCCTCAGCTCTTCAGCTCAAGGCTAGCGCTCTACCACTTGAGCCAGTGTGTATGTGTGTGTGTGGGGGGGTCCGGTCGTGGGGCCTGAACTCTGGGCCTGGGCGCTGTCCCTCAGCTCTTCAGCTCAAGGCTAGCGCTCTACCACTTGAGCCACAGCACCACTTCCGGCTTTTTTCTTTTTTGCTTATGTGGTTCTGAGGAATCGAACCCAGGGCCTCAAGCATGCAAGGCAAGCGCTCTACCACTGAGCCACCTTCCCAGCCCTGTGTTGTTGTTGTTTTTTTGTCGGTCATGGAGCTTGAACTCTGGGCCTGGGTGCTGTCCCTCAGCTCTTTAGCTCAAGGCTAACACTTTACCACTTGAGCCACAGCACCACTTTGGCATTTTCAGCTTATGTGGTGCTGAGGAATTGAACCCAGGGCCTCATGCATTCGAGGCAAACACTCCACCATTGAGCCATCTTCTCAGCCCAGATTCACTGGTTTTTGCAAAATAAATATATATAAAATCTTAAGAATAAAGCTTCCTTTTTTTAAAAATAAATACCCAAGTTATAAATGACTTATAAGTGAACAGCCTTTCCTATTTCTCTGTTTTATTCTAGAAAACCCAACACTTCCCTCTCACTAACTTCATGCTGTTCTTATGGCAGACCATTCCAGGAGCCCCTACCATCTTGAGACCCAAGCCAAGGAAATGGAAGAAGAGTTGTGAGATGTATTTCTGGACCCACCAGTTACAACTTAATCATTTTTTTCAATGCCCTCTCTTGTATAAATTATTTATACACATTACATAAAGGTCTCTTATTGTCTTTAATAGTTCCATGGTATTATGTGATTGTGGTCATATCAAAATTTACTTTACTATAATCCTACTAATAATTACTAAAGTAGTTTCTAGAAGTTTGTTTCTATGAATAATGCTAAATACCCCTATTCTTATGTTTATTACATAGGCCTAAGAACATACGTAGTACACATTTATAGAAGTAGACTTACTTCTAAGATATATGCATATTTAAATCTGATAAGACAAGGTCAAGTTCTCCCTAATTAGCTGAAAACAACATATTTTCATACAAGCAAGCTTTGCTGGAAATAGACTGAATAACTTGACCAGGTTCACATAGCTGTGCTTTATAGCATGACAGGCAAAAACTAGGCAATGTTTGACTATAAATATGTCAAAGCTATAAATTACCCTGGAATGCCTAGGAAAACTAGTATGAAACAGACTTTATCCCCACACCAGAAGACAACTGCCTCAAGCATTATGGAGAACTAAAACCACTGGAAATTACTCATCATGTATTACAGAGTTACAACACAAAACGAAAAAGTACTGGTTTCAATAATTAATTACACTCAGACATTCCTAATTAGTACTGTTAGTCTTTTTGGTGAGTCTTAAAAGAAATGAATTAATATCATTCTAAATGTAATAGTTATAGAAATAACAGACTTAAGCCGGGTGCCGGTGGCTCATACCTGTAATCCTAGCTACTCAGGAGGCTGAGATCTGAGGAACATGGTTCAAAGCCAGCCTGAGCAGTAAAGTCCTTGAGACTCCTATCTCCAATTAACCACCAGAAAACTGGAAGTGGTGCTGTGGCTCAAGCGGTAGAGCGCTCACCTTAAGCTGAAGAGTGCAGGGACAGCACCCAAGCCCAGAGTTCAAGCCCCACGACCAACAAAAAAAATAAATAACAGGTTTAGATTTTACTTAGGTTTTCTCATCACAATTATAACCTCAGAATAACTCAAGAAAACACTACATAAAAGAAAACTAAGAAAATGGTGCGTTCCTGTAATCCTAGTACTCAGGAGGCTGATGAAGGATGAAGGAGGATCTTGATGAAGGATGTACTTGAAACCACCAAGAAAAAAGAAAGACTAAAGAACTAAAGACTCACACATAAATCAATGGATTAAAGTAATAAAAAGAGAAAACACTAGAGAAAAGATAATACCATCTTGCTTTTTCTATGTACTCTACTGAATTGACTGCTGTCTGCTTAGGGAATCACAGATTCTTGAATTTTCCATGACAATGGAAAGATTACTTTTGTTGAGAGAATTGTGGCTTGAGGACAGCCCAAACAAAGAGTTTGCAATACCCTCCTATCTCAATAAAGAAAGCTGTATGTGACTATGTGGTAGCACAACCCTGGAAGCTCAACTATGTGGGGAAGTGTAGGTAAAAGGATTGCAGTCTAAGTTAGACTGGACAAAAAAGCACAAGCTTCTGAGAAATAACTAAAAAGCAATAAAGGGGCATGGCTCAAGTGGCAGAGCACACTGGTGTCACAAATATAAGGCTCTAAATTCAAACTCATATACCACCCAAACCAAAACTTCCAGAGCTGGGGATATAGCTCAGTAGGAGAGCAATTGCCTAGCATGCCTAAGGCCCTGAGTTTGATTCCCCAGCACTACACACAAGAAGGAAGGAAAGAAGGAAGAAAGGGAGGGAGGGAGAGAGGGAGGGAGGGACAAGGAGAAGAAAGAAAGAAAATAAAACTTCAACAAAGCAGTTTAATAAGAACTCATATGAAACATTAACACAAATGTTCCTTTTATTCAATAAAGATCTAGAGTAAGTACGGTAGAATACTTCCTATATTTTTTGTATGTCAACATAACTTCTTACAGAAAAATCTTAGAACTTTACTCAATTGCAGTTTGCAGGGGGAACTGTTCATTTTGCTCCAATTTTCCTTTCTTTACCTATTTCCACTTGCCTTTTGGGAGTATCATCTCCTTTCTATTCAGACACCAGTATGAATCTTCATCTCTCTTCTACTCACAGACACCAGTATGTTCTTTTCTTGTCCTATCTAAATATGCTCTCAAAGCAGAAGGCTTTGAACTTTCTGTACTCTTTATACTTTGAAAGTATTAAGAACTCACAACATTTCAAAGGAATTATATCCCCTTTTCTTAGACCTTATAATACTGAGTTTTCATATATCTCCTGCCCTCATTAATATCTAACCTCTCCTGTTCCTTTCATTTTAATAGATATCAAATATTTAAAAGACAAATTATTAATTTGGGTTGCAGGGAATTCACAAATGTTTTCATGGGATCTTTGATCTTCTATCCTGATATAAGATATTAAATCTTGGGGCTGGGAAGGGGGCTCAGTGGTGGGAGTGCTTGCCTTGCATGCATGAGGCCCTAGGTTAGATTTCTCAGCACCACATAAGCAGAAAAAGCTGGAAGTGGTGCTGTGGCTCAAGTGGTAGAGCGCTAGCCTTGAGCTGAAGAGCTGAGGGACAGCACCTATGCCCCGAGTTCAGGCCCCATGACCGACGAAAAAAACAAACAAAAATGATATTAAATCTTGAATTTGAGCCCATGGATGTATGTATATGTTTCAGGAAGTAGGTCTCAATAAGTTCTCAAAGGGGTCAGAAAGTGTGCTGAGGCACACTAAACAAAAGGAATCAAGTTCAAAGTCTAGAACCCAGTAGAGACCAAGGCAACAATTTTGAGGGCTGAAGGGTTTCACCAGGCTCCTAAAAATCTCACCACCATATGTAGTTGAATAAAGCAAGTATCAGTATATCCTTCTTCAGCTTCAGCAAGGACTACAGCCATAACCACTGACATAATTTTCAAGACATGTTGATTACTCTCTTTTCTTCTTTTAACATACCTTTAAAGCTTCTATAACAAGATCCCTGGCTTCAAGCTCTCCTTCAAGAATGCTGAAGAGTGTCAGGAGTTCAGGCTTGCTTAGTTTTTCCAGATTCATCTTCAAAGTCTAAAACAAAAATGGTTAACAATCAATCTCTAGAAGACACAGTTAATGTGTTAACTAAGGAAGAGAAGACCAACAATTACAGTATGAAATATTATGCTGGATGACAGTGGCTCACGCCTCTAATCCTATCTACTCAGAAAGCTGATATCTGGAGAATCCTGGTTCAAAAAAGTCCACTAGACTCCAGCTCCAAAATAACTAGCAAAGATCAATTTTCTTTCATCATTTTTCTTGAAAGCATATTTATAAGCAATCCAGGTTTTTGAAGTAATTAGTAACTAAGAAATACTAAGAATTACTTTTCACTAAAACATTACTAGCACATAAAAGATTTCCCAGTTTCAAATAACCTATAGGTAATCCAATTCTAAAACTAAAAACATTCTGGTACCAATTAATTGGAATGAAACTTCAACAAAGATAATAGTTGATGGGAATATAGTGGAGATATTTTTCTTCTACTGTCTTTCAGAGAACTATAACAGAGTATACACACACACACACACACACACACTTTTTTTTTTTAATGTTTTGGTCCAAGACTAGGCTTCAAACTCTGTAACTGATACTTTTGCTCATTGGCATGTTCTCTAATAACTGAGCCACACCTCTAACCCCTTCTTATTTCTTATATAGTAAATTTAACAGGGTGTGTGTGTGTGTGTGTGTGTGTGTGTGTGTGTGTGTGCGCGCGCGCGTGTGCGTGAGTGTGTGTGTTGCCACTGTTAGGGCTTGAACTCAGGGTGACCAGGGCATTTTTCCTTAGCTTTTTCACACAAGGGTGTTACTTTATCACTGAGCCACAGCTCTACTTACAGCTTTTTGCTAGTTACTTGAAGAGTCTTGATGACTTTCCTGCTGGGCTAGCTTCAAACCTCAGATCCTCAGATCTCAGCTTACTGAGTAGCTAGGATTACAGGCATAAGCCATGGGCACTTGGCTCAACTATGCTCTTAAATGATTTTCAGTATATTAATTAGCTAGGCTACTACAAGCTGAATTGACTTAGCTTCACATTTCTATGACAACTGCAGCTCTTGAAATAAGTTAAATGGCAAACTACATGACAAGATTAATTTCTAACAAAATACTCAGCTAGAGAGGCTAGTCTGTTAAATAATCCTTAAAAGATCTTCTGATCAGTCTGTATGGTAGATTGCATTTTGTAAAGGAGAGAAAATACTATTTTCCCTCTCTTGCTTTTTATTATTGTCACTCTCATAATTTTCTTCAATGTGAATCACAACATGAATGGTTCAGATACCCTCCAGTAATTCTTTACTCTTAATAAATTTGAAGGAGCACACACGTGAGTCATTGATCCTGTCTTTGAAGATGTGTAACAAGGTACACTTCAGTGTGTGATTAATGTGCTCCAGGTACACACTGTACAAATCTCTTACCACACAGTGAAATACTGTCAGTGTAACCTCAGTTCTGTTTACTTTCTAGCTGGTGAATTCTAGCAACTACTGAGTCTCACTTTAGAATTAGGGATATATTCAACAGTGACTTACTTTCTGTAGCCATATTAGGGAAGATGGATTTGGATTTTTTTTTTTTTTTGCCAGTCCTGGGGCTTAAACTCAGGGCTTGGACACTGTCCCCAAGCTTCTCTTGCTTAAGTTAGGGCTTTATCACTTGAGCTACAGTACTACTTCCAGCTTTTTCTGAGTAGTTTATTGGAGACAAGAATCTCACAGGCTTTTCTGGCTGGACTGGCTTTGAACTGTGACCCCCCTCAAATCTCAGGCTTCTGAGTAGCTAGAAGTACAGGCATGAGCCATCAGCACCCAGCTGGAAATCTTTTGTACTCAAAGATATCCAGTGCCATTTCAAGAACTAACTCCTGATTTTCAGTTTTCTCACGTGTTGAGGAGACAATGATATCTAAGCTGTACAGATTCTGTGAAGATTGAGTTAATCAATGTAAAGCCCTTACCATCTTGCTGATAACATCTAAAAAATAGTTTAAGAATTTAAAGAAAGGCATCAAAATTGGTAGCAGCCAAAATCGATGATTTTAGAAATAACTTCAGCTGTCCTTGTGTAGTTGAGAACCAACCTCACAGGAAGAAAGGAATGTTGTTCTGCAGTGAGGAATGGTATTTAAAGGAATTTAAAAGTCACATTGATTTATTAGACGAATCCCTCCTAAATAGATTGGTGTTTGTACCGTCCTCAGAGTGAGATTACAAGGCTCTTCCTTCCCATTTTCATGATGTGAGGAAGAATAATAGGCAAGTATTCCATAATTCTAACTTCACAGAGTAAAACAACTGGCCATATAGGCACCCAGGTAGGCAGGTAGGAGTACAGCTAAAAAAATGATATTGGGCTCTTTTATTCAATAACTTTATAGTCAGTAAACATTCTCATTTAGAGATCCACACTTGTGGCTTACAGAAGTAAGTTAATTATGTTTTACGTGGGGTAAAGGAAGCGTAAGGTTTTGGCCTAGCTTTGATTGACACACAGAACAGCTAGCTATACGGCTTTGAGAAAGAAATTTGCCTATTACTCTGGGATTCTTAGTACAAAGAATAAAACAAGTTAAATAATCTCCAAAGACCTTAGTTTCATCCTAAGCTTCTAAGTAATAAGCATTTGTTGGAGAGTATAATCAAATATAAGGGATGGGAGTAGCTCAGTGGGGGCTTGCCTACATGAGAAAGCCCTGGATTTGATCCCCAGCAACACACAACACACACACACACACACACAAACACACATACACGAGCTAAATATAGAGAAAGCTAAATATATATAGAGAGAGCTAAATCAGATTGTGACTAGATCAAAGACTTTGATCTATTATGATAATACACAGCTTCATAAACGTTGATAAAATCTTCAGAGCCACAGCTCAGACCAGAAAAGAAAAAATTCTGAAACTGTTCTGTTAATGATATAAAGAAAATATTTACTTGTTATATTTTTATGCGCAAGTCATTTCTGCACATTTCTTATTTTGTTTCTGACATTTAAACAGGGGATTATTTTAGTACACCAGAGTTAGTAAAATAGAAAATGAAAGAAATATTCATATCTCTGTTCCACATGCAGGATATGGAAGTTAAACCCAAACACACATTTTTAATATCTGGAATGTAATCCATAGCAACTCATTTAGATTTGTGTTTAAATTAAGTGAGTATAACACAAATACTCAAGAGGAAAAAAAGGAGTTGAGTACTGGGGGCTCACTGCTATCATCCTAACTACTTAGGAGACTGAGAGCTGAGAATCAAGGTTTGAAGCCATCCTGAGCAGTAAAGTCTGTGAGTCTGCTATCTCCAGTTCACCTCAAAAAGGACAGAAGTGAAGCTGTGGCTCAAGTAGTCTAGTGCTAGCCTGTAGTCTAGTGCTAGCCTGGAGCACAAAAGCTCAAGGACAGCCAGACACTGGTGGCTTACACCTAGCCATTCAGAAGGTTGAGATCTAAGGATCGAAGTTTGAAGCTACTCCTGGCAGAAAAGTCCTCATGAGACTCTTATCTCCAATTAACCACTCGAAAACTGTTAGTGGCACTATGGCTCAAATGGTATAGTGCTAGCCTTGAGCACAGAGGCTCAAGGACAGCACCCAGGCCCTAAGTTCAAGTCCCACAACCAATCAAACAGAAAAAAAAAAAAAGGTCAAGAATAGTGCCTACACCCTGAGTTCAAGCCCCAAGACAGGCACAAAAAAAGGGGTGTGGGAGTTATTGCTATCTACCTCAAAAGCCATATTCTAGTAACTTTATAAATATTAAAATTTAGCAACTCTTTGCTATACATTTGAGTCTAATCTTCAAATACAGGACATTATAATTAACTTTTATCTGATATATAAAGTGAAATGCCATTACAGTTTAGGGTGGCAATGATATTTTTATGGGTAGGGGTGACACTAACCTGATAGCTGAATCACACTTTAATTCTCAAGTATAAACTCTTCAAATGTCTTCAGTCAAAATTGGGAAAATGGACAGATGTGTTCAAAATGCCATTAACATGGTGAGAAAGTGTTCAATGCTGCAAAAGAAAAACAAATTTAATGTCCATGTGACCACACCATACAACCTGGTAAATCTCATTAATGTCAATTGCTGTAGTAGATAAAGCCTGATAGACAGTGGTTGTTACTGACAAGAAAAAAAAGCCAGTTCTTTATGTTGAAGCAAAATAAGTAGTGAAAAATACAAAGCTAGTGCTGGTGGTTCACTCCTGTAATCCTGGCTACTTAGGAGGCCGACATAGATCTGCAGCTTGTGGTTTGAAGCCATCTTAGGAAAAATCCATGAGGCTTATCTCCAATTAACAGGCAAAAAGTTAGAAGTGGAGCTATGGCTCAAGTGCTAGAGTGCTAGCCTTGAGCAAAGAAGCTAACAGGCAGCATCCAGGTTCTGAGTTCAAGCCCCAAAACCGGCACAAACAAACAAGCAAAACAATCTGAAATCTGACCTCTGTTCTGCAACAATAATTAGAAAAGGTTTGAACTCAGGGCCTGGAGTTCTTTTGCTCAAGGCTAGTGGGCACTCTACTACTTGAGCCACAGTGCCACTTCCAGATTTCTGGTGGTTAATGGGAGATAAGAGTTTCACAGACCATAATCCTCAAATTTCAGCTCCAGAGTAGCTAGGATTACAGGCATGTACCACCAACACCTGGCTACAAACTTTTTTTGAGACAGGGTCTTGCTGTGTATCCTGGGGCAACCTCAAGCACCTGATTCTCCTGACTCAGCCTCCCAAGTGATGACATCTTTTTTATGTTACATCATCTAATGTAATTTCGAAGACTAACTTCTGAATGTCACTATAGGACTTTCTTTCCTGAATTGACAAAAAACAAGACAAACAAACAAAAACCCTATCTGCTTAAGACACCATGACTTAAGCATAATACCCACAATGCATTCAGACAGAAAAATACCAATTATAACTGTTCAACCTGTCAAATTTGTGTAAGGAAAACTGTTATTTCCTTACTTTTTTTTTTGCAAATTATTTATTGTGATTAAGTGATTACATAATTTCACAGTATTGTGGGATAGTGATGTTTAAAGTCATGAACACATGCTTACTTTCATGGGGCAAATTGTCTATCATGGTCTATAAAGTTTCTGAGTTCTATGAGCTTTGGCAATACAGTTATTTCTTCCACACTGGGTGTTATGTACATTTCTTTCCTTTTGCATAGCATCAGCTGTTCCCTTTTTCCCACTCGTTCCCTCCTTCCCATCGCTGCCATTGAGTTGCTTAGTTCCTTTTGATATTTCCTTACTTCTTGATAATCACAAATCAACTTGTGACCAATTTTACTTTGTAAGTCTAAGTATCTCCAGCTGCTTCTTCCCCTGGTTACATCCAAATAGTAAGTATTGAATTATATATAAACCTTTAATGTTTTCCTAGCAGTTTATTAAATTCAAGAAAATTTTTTAAAAAGTGGAGCTGGGTAATATAGCTCATGCAAGACCTTGGGTTCAACCTCCAGTAATGGGCAAGAAAAGAGTGAGAATGGTGGTACATGTCTGTAATACCATTACAAGGAAGCGAAAACAGGAAGATCTGGAATTCCAAGCCAGTCTGTGCTACATAATGAAACCCTGTGTTAGCTGGCAGCTGATGGCTCATGCCTGTAATCCTAGCTACTCAGGAAGCTAAGCTCTGAGATAGTGGTTCAAAGCCAGCAAGGGCAGGAACATCCATGAGACTCTTATTCTAACAAACTACTCAGAAAAAGCCAGAAATTGTGCTGTGGCTCAAGTGGTAGAGCACTAGCCTTGAGTATAAAGAAGCTCAGGGACAGTGCCCCGGCCCCAAGTTCAAGCCCCAAGACTGGCAAAAGAAAAAGAAAAAGAAGGAAAAAAGGAATGCTGTGTTTAAACAAAAAAAAAAAAAGGAGAAAAAAAAACTATCCATCTCTTAATTTAGGAAAGGGTGGGTTTGCATAGTTGTTGTATAACATAAAGATAAACCACTGAATGAACTATTCCAGCAATTCCTACATAAGGCAGAATTATGTGGCCCAGAATTCTCAGGAAAAGACTGTTTTTAACCCAAGTCATTATTAGAAATGACTGTAAGATTTTTGGCATGTCGCATGGTAAAGACTCATTCTCCATTTATTTCTAAATGAGATGTTAACTTGTCATTGTCATCATTCATTACATGACTTTGAAAGACAAGTTCATTTTAGCCAGATGTGCAACTCATTCTTTCCATTAGAGTCTCTCTAACATGCAACTTTCTTTAAGAGTTTACAAACAGATATTTCTGTCTGAGGAATTTCATAGTCTATAAATTTAAGATTAAAAAAAAACACTTGTGGACAAGTTGTCTGGATACATTTTCATACTCTCTGGTATGGCCAGCTGTAGCTATATTAAGTTTTAAAGTTTTTTAAATTAAAAAATATATATAGGGGCTGGGAAGGTGGCTCAGTGGTAAAGTGCTTGCTTTGCATGCATGAGGCCCTGAGTTTGATTCCTCAGCACCAGCAGAAAAAGCCAGAATGGCTCTGTGGCTCAAATGGTAGAGCACTAACCTTAAGCTGGGGGACAGGGCCTAGGCCCAGAGTTCAGGCCCCATGACCACCACCAACAACAAAAAAACAAACCAAAAAAACATATAAATATGTACAAATAAGAAGTTAAACATATTTCAAAACCTGAGAAAAAACCCATATGTGAAACATTTTTAGTTATCAATATATGATTTTAAATGGGCATTGCTCAGCATACCATTTTGTCTACTCATAGGCTACAATCCCACCAAGTTAAGGCCAATGTCCAGGACAACAATCAGAAGAGTTATATGCACATGTGAAAAGAAAAATGTGTGCTCATGGGCAAACATATCCTTCTTAACTGCAGTGCTATTTTTTTCTAGGAAATGCTACTGTTTTTTAGGCTCTGCTTAAAAAAAAAAAGTCAGTACTACTAGGGCTTGAACTACAAGTTCCACTTGCAGCTTTCTGGTGGTCAATTGGAGATTAGAATCTCAATAGATTTTCCTGCCAGGGCTGGCTTTGATCCACAATCCTCATATTTCAGCCTCCTGAGTGGCTAAGATTACATGAAGGAGCTTATAATCTCAGTGCCTGGCAGGACTCTGGGTCATTTTATTTTGGCCTTTTTCCCTCTGGAAAATACCCAAGCTCCATTCATTCTAGTTCTAACTATTCTTCCTTTTTAAAGAAGAACTTCTGCTTTGGAATTTTTTTTTTTTTTTTTGGTCCAGTCATGGGGAATGAACTCAGGCCTGGGCGCTGTCCCTGAGCTCCTCAGCTCAAGACTAGCCCTCTACCACTTGAGCCACAGCGCCACTTCCGGCTTTTTTCTTTTTTCTTATGTGGTGCTGAGGAATCGAACCCAGGGCCTCAGGCATGCAAGGCAAGTGCTTTATTACCGAGCCACCTTCCCAGCCCTGGAATGTTGAATTAACTCTATAGGGTAACAGCTATCATTGCCTTTTTACCATGAAACTGGGTGGCAGAAAAAGAAACACCCCAAACAACTTCTAAAGCCATGTAAGCAATAGGGCAGGGCAGGGTGGAGTGAGTACAAGTCAACTGTTTGTCTAGTATCTGGGTGTGAGTATAATTTTGTGTGGAACTAAAGGTGAGGGTTCTTTTTTCCCAGGTTGTAGGTGACATAAAACATGAAAGAGAGAAAACACTTTTAGGAGCCTTAGGTGGTTCCTCAAAACTCAAAAAAACTATACAAAAATCAATCCATAGTCTTAAAATTCACTTTACTAGATTATTCTAGCAAAACGGAATTAAAAATCACTATTACAAACTTAGATATCAAACAAGCAATTTATACTTTGGCTACAACTAACTCATAATTCAGGCTATTCAGTAAGTTTTTAGTATTAGTAAACAGAAGCAAAGATGAAAAGCAAATTTGTTCCATTTATGCAAAAACTTTCACATACATATAAGCAAACCCCAAATATGGATCAGTTACTTCTTACAACTCTGACTGTAAAACAACAATTTAGACAGTGCTTCTGACAGCTTTCCACTAATACATGGTCTTAAAAACTCAGTGTATGTGGAATAATAAAAGAAAAATCACATTTATAAATACTAAATCTAAATATGGATAAAATGCATTATTATTTTTAAAAATGTATCCAACCTGTATCAGGAGATAGAAGTGTTGATACACTCACTACCTTAACTGTCTGAAAAGAGTTAAGATTCCCCATCTCCTGTCATTTCAGTTTTCAGAAGGATTTTTCATGCTTTGGGGATGAAACAGTAACAATACTCTAAAATGGTCCCTTTCTCCTCTCCTGGCATTTTAGAGTAAGACTAGGGGACTAAACATGATTTTAGGGAATGATTTTCTCACCAAGAAAACATACCTTAAAACTGAGTGCAATGGTATGGATTTTTATTTCAACACACAAGAGGACTGAGTGTTCAAGACAAGGGTTACATAAGGAGACCTATTTCAAAAACAAAAAAATAAACTTGTCTTGGCTACTGTTATTTACAAAAGTCAAAGTAAAAATCAATTTTACTTTACAGATCCTTTATTAAGCAATATAAGCTTCATTACTGATATTTTAAATCAAGCTTTTTCTTTGTTAGGAAGGTAAAAGAAATACTAGACTATTTTTTTTGCTGGTAACCAGTTCAAACTGGGCGGAACACTTGCTCAGCTCACTTGCTCCACTTGAGCCACACCTCTAGCCTAGCTTTTTGTTAGTGAATTTAGAGATGGTGTCGCCAAGGCTTTTCTGTGCAGGTTGGCTTGAAACTATAAACCTCCATATCTCAGTCTCCTCAATAAACAAGAATACAAGTATGAGCCACAGGTGCCCAGCTCAGCTCCCAAATTCTTAGGTTGACATCCTAATTTCTAATACCAGAAGGTGACTGAATTTGGAGAAAAACGTCTTTAAGAAAAAATTAAGTTGAAATGAACTCATTACAGTGGGCCCCAGTTCAATATGACTGGAGATCTTTTAACAGGAAATCTGGGTCAGGGTAAAACAATGAGAAGATACAGGGGA